ACAGAGTAATCTTGCTGTCCTTGTGTACTCTAAGTAGCAAATAACACATTTTAATACTCTCTCCACACTCTTTTATAATACTTTCTTAAGGCGGGCAGGTCTCTTTGTCAGCTTTCTTTGTACACATATCCTTCTCTGCATGGGTCATATAAGTTCCTTGGAAGCTTTCACAAGCTGCTAATATTTTTGCTATCCGCTTTTATAGCAGTTTTTAAAATGTTACAGACTGACAGATAGGAAACATTGTGACAATGTTATGCGTACACTATAAGTCATATTGCTGTTGGCAAAGGTTGTTCTTTGCTTAGGAAACTCCAATTGGTTGTGTTAGTTTAAAGCAGGCAAAGACAGGTCCCTGATGTTGTACTGTATAATATGTCCATTCCGGGTTAACCCAGAAGCAACATGGTTTGTTTGACTAATTTAGTTATTGCTTCATCATGTATATGTGATATGTGCAGAAATATAAACACAGGCAAGTACTGGGAAGTTATATCTATTTCATTGTGTTCTAGGGCTTGTTCCCCTAAAATTGTATACAAAATAGTTGCACTGATCTCAGCCAGCAAAAATGAATAGGTCAGTCCCCCAAGCAGTGATATATAACTATGATGGAGCCTGGTGAGTTCAATCCAGACCTTGGATTGAACTTGGTGAGGGGGAGTATAATTGAGTAAAGGGCTAGGAAGAGACTGTCACTATGCCCCAAATTAGCAGACAGAGTCTCTTTAATGTGAACTTTGTCAGGAGAACTATATGTGTTGCAAAGTTTTGTTGAAACTTTATTGCAGATCCTTGCTGCCTCTGTTCTGAAGTAGAGATGAGCCTAGGCTTGGTGCAAACCCAGTTTGCCTAAAGTTTGGCCAAGCGTTCTCAAAAGAAGCACCACTCCCCCCTCCTAGGCCAATGAGTAGCAGCATTCCCTGCCCCTTTGTGACATATAGCCTCGGGACAGGGAACGCACCTTTGCACAACTGATTTGGCCTGGAGAAGTGCATGGCAGTTATAGTTTTAAGCATGCTTGGGTGAACTAAGTGTGCTCCAGACCAAGGCTTTAGTGTCACTTCAAGTCTCAGGAGGTCAGCTGTGTCTGAGATGTTGCAACCTCCTAGTTTGGCACCAAAAAACACTTCCAGAATGTCACTTAGTTTACAGCCTTCCCCTGTATACATTTTGGCTAAACAACTATTGCAGCCACATGATTTACTGTTTGTCTTCTTGAAAAGCTATGCCTAAAAAGTGACCATCGAGTGTATTTAAAATAAATATGTCTTCCTTCTTAACATACAGTACTGCAGAGATGAAAGAAGGTTTTTTCAAATGCCAACACGTGATGATAGTCTTTGTCAGAAATCCCATTCACATCCATGATGCAGTGTGTACCTGAAGACATAGGGCAGACATAACAAGGCATTACAAGGACGTCTATGAGACATTGTGAAATCACAGCATAATACTTTTATAGGTCAATAGTGAGAGGAGAAGTGAATGGCTTTGCACTTGGGAATAATTCAGTGCTGAAACAGAGTCTAATGTAAAGTGATGTGTACATTTTCAGTTGTCATAGAAATGTCTCCATGGATTTCCAGTCATAGTTATGTTTTAGACATATGACTGTGTCTGCTGCTTTGGGGCTAGAGTCATGAAATCCAATATATTGTGCAGGCAGTTTCACATGAAGTCTTTATTATGCTCCTACTGGTCTGTGGTTTACGGTGGTAGATGTATACATTGTTTGCAATAAATAAGAACAGATATATTTGCACATATTGTTAATGATCAGTGAATGAACCAAAGAGTACAAAGTGCTGAAGTTATTTGGATCGATTCCAAAATCAATCTGTTGAGCAAGTGGAATCGGCTGCCAAAATAAAGAATGAAAACAAACGTACGAATGTCCCAGCAGATGGCATTTCTTTTTTATCTTTTATGAACTCCCTGCACCTGAGGGCAAATGGCACAAGCTGGCATGTAGTTAAAATGCTTTTCCCACACCAGACCCTACGTGTCCTGTTCTTCAAAACAGGAATGACACCTGCTCCATAAGGCCTTGCATGGGTTATGTCATCTTGTTTGGAAGAAGCCAGGATTGGATGTTAAAGCCCAACTCTTGTTTTAAATGCTGCCTGTGTCTTTGTTGAAGAGATTTCTCCCTGCTTCTTCTTCAGTCTGACACGCGTCACCTGGACTGGAAGTGAGAAGAAATGTCCCCAACAGAGACACAAACTGCAATACAATCTTGACAGAGGTTCCAAACATTCTCACTGTACTAGAAAATGAGACAATGTGTTTTTCTTGCTGCTTGTTTCCCCTTTCAGGCCTCATTCACACTGCCGCGCGTATACACGCGTACGTGCGTATTGTACCATATGCAACATATGCAAATAAATGGCTCCATACGCGCATGGAACCATATATTTGTGTAGCGTATATATGCGCAAAAACAGAATGGAACAGAGATGCGTCCGAGCGCGTACAGCACATTAAAAATTCCATTACGAGTGATGCATTCTGGGATTGCATATAGTGCACGCATAGACGCTTGTGTATACGTGCATAGACGCGTATATACGCAATATACAATTTTGCTTGCGTTGTGTGTAAATGAGGTTTTACTGTCGAACACCCAAGATATAGGAAATTGGGATATTTTCACTTCCTTCGTGTCCTGTCTAACATCCTCCAAGACTGTGGGAGAAAGCTTGCAGACCGGGATATACAGGTGAAACTCGAATAATTAGAATATCGTGCAAAAGTCATTGCAGTAAGTGCTGCAAAAGGGGCCCAAACCAAGTACGGAGTACATATGCATGCTTGTACTTTTCAGAGGTCCGATATTGTTCTATGTACAATCCTTGTTTTATTGATTGCATGTAATAATCTACTTTTTTGAGGTTGTGGATTTGGGGTTCTTGGGGTTTTCATGAGCTGTAAGCCATAATCATCACAATTATGACATCACGGCTTGAACTATCTTGCTTTGCATGTAATGAGTCTATCTCATATATTAGTTTCAACTTTTAAGTTGCATTAGTGAAATAAATGAACTTTGCACAATATTCTAATCGAGTTTCACCTGTAGATAACAATCTAAAGTTGACTGAGGTTGGCACTCTTTGCCACTCGCATCTTGCCATGGCTCACTTTCTCATGATGGACTCCTAAACATTTAAAGTGAGCACACAATTGAGACATTTCAGCAGATAAGCGGAATTCACAGAGTTGTCTTTTTACATTTTTATAATGAGCATCAATGGTGGTTTTATATAATCAAGCAAGGAGGGTATATTTGATATTGCGGGCCCCTGTGCATTTCTTTGTAAATCTTTCCTTCAGCGTACACTCTGCAGTTGTTTACTTATAAATGAAATGAGAGAAATTCTATGCCTATAAATATGGTAGTAGCTTGCTTGAACTTTTCGCAGGGGGTGTATGCAACATTCATTATGATACTGGATCTGCATGCAGATGCAGTATGCTAATGAAGCCATTCATTTCCTAGCAAATTGTGCTGAACTCTTGGAATATGGTTCTACTGGCTTGTGAATTTACATCTGGCAAGTATCAACACCTGCTTGACTTGATTATGCAGAATACTGAGAAAAAGTGCCGCCTCTAAAAAAAAATAATTACTTTTCTTTCAGCACTGTGTAAGTAACCCTTCCGTTTGCTGTTTTTTCAATTACTCTTCAATGGTTTCATCATGCATGTAATAGAAGTTTACAGGCTTCTTGAGAATGGTGAACTTAAAGATAAGTTACACATCCTCTGACTAAGGGAACAAGATGGTGTAAAGAACACTAATGCTGGCCATACACTATTCGATCTGTATCATTTAGTCTGCAGGTTGAACAAAAAATATCTTGCAGGTTCCTCCAACCACACTAAACAGCATGAATGGACCAGTCTCCCAGTGAGGCTACTGTATTCTGCCAGATGGTAACCACCACTGTCAGAATACATGAACAGGGCAATCTAGGTGATAAATGGTACCTCCTATATATGTTTTAGATGCAGTCTTCTGCAACCCAGACCCACCAAATAACAGAATGTTATAGCCAAAAGGGTTCAACTCTTCTAAGAGTTTTGCATGCTGTCCTTGCCCCTCTTGCCTCCATTATATTTCTTTTGGCCCATCACTATAGGAGTAACACTCCTAGGAGGGGGTGGAGCAGAACACCACATTAAAGAATAACTCCTGGCTGGAGGGAATGCTGTGGTTGCTGGCCAGCTCAGAGATTCGGGTGAGCATAACTTTGTTATTTTTGAACCTAAACAAACACTTAGCCCTTGCAGTGCGGGGGTAGCCTCACTGCATGGGTTAATACAATTTGTTACTGGAGTTCTTCTTCTTTAACAGGGGGGATTATAATGTGCCAGTTAAAGTACTGTGAACTGGATCCTCTGGATGCCTGTGCTATGAAGATTTGAGCACGCTACATTTGGTGCATATTTTATAGTTCTGACTGAACTACTTGGGTCCCAACAGTTTGTGTGTGTGTGTATCAGTGAATAAAGATGCCCTCCTTGGGATGAGTTATCTTCTTTGTAATGCTGAATGTTCTGGAATGCTTTTCTGTCAATCCTAAATATTTTCAGGCAGCTGTTGTTTTAAAATACTGATGTTAAATTGTCAACTTCCTCTAATTCTGAAACAATGTAATGAGTTTAATAGACCAGCTGCGGAACTTTACAGATATGGAAGAAACAACAGGTTCCCACTTGGCTACACAGACAGAACTATCTGTAAAGATAGAACTTTACAGATAGTTGTATACACAGTAGGTATATGTGCAAAGTAGGAAACAATGGATGCTCAGCTATATTTTCACAAACTGAACTAATATGTTTTCAAAGTTTTTATTGGTTTCCATAAGATCTTTCAAATCCGGCTTTTAACAATTGTGTCCAAATCAGCAAATTCAATATTTCTCAAATCAACATTAACTTTAAACTGAACTAATATGAATCATAAAATGTCTTCCTGTGTTTCATTGCAGGATTGCAGAGACAGAGGACAGAGAATACCCGTCAGTGGAAACAGAGGATAGTTCATCTGAGAGCAAACACAAGCCAACAAGTAAATCCTCTGAGATCTCAGACACGGCGAATGTACCCCAACAAAGCAGGGCAAGATCTGGGACCCTCCCCAGTGATTACAGATTTGTGAATGAAAATGTAAAGTACAGAAGCAGAGATATTGGCTATTCAGCTGATCCTATTTCAGAAAATCAGATTGATGTCAAGAATTTCCCACAAACTAGTGAAGGAAACCAGTGGCAAGATGCAGTGCCTGTGAACAAGAAACGTGGACCAGCACCACAAAGACCTCCTCCACCCAAGCTTGACAAATACTGGAGACAGAACGGTTCTACATCTTCTCTTGCCACTTCCACTGAATCCTTACTGACGACAGCACAAGGGAAAGGTGTTGCTCCTTATTCTCCTGCAAGCCTAGATGCCGTTAAGCCTGAGACGACACCTGGCCACAGTCCAGGGGTGCCTTCTGATAAACACTTAAGTGTCATTTTGCACAAATCCCAGCCCTCTGGGTCACTGGAGAATGTTGGGCAGCACCTAGAGAAAAAACCCGTCAATTCTGAGTCTGAAAGGTCTCCAAAGCCTTGCTATCTGCAGAAACCTGGGATGGAACCTTCACGATCACCGTCTCCTCAATTTGCTCCACAAAAGCTTACAGATAAACCTCCATTTATGGTTCAGGATGAAAACATGGCAAGGTAGATATTTAATAACCTAACACTGACCAGGCAGCATCATTTCGCAACAGTCTGTGTTGCTCACAGCTACCAATCAAATTCAGATTTATACAGAAAGTTAAAGTGTCTGACATTTTTATTGGGTGCTGGAAATAACCTAGTTATTTTTTCTACATTTAAAGTATATATCAAATCGAAAAATGTTTTAGGTTTATGACAGAGAGGGAAATCATTAAAACCCTTGAAATTTTTTTTTTTGTTCTGTGTGTCTCACTGGAGAGAATTCCTCCCACGTTCCCTCCTGGAGACATGAGAGGAAGTGAGAGAAAATCTATCCCAAGAGAGGGGAAAAGTCCTTGTTCTAGTAACAACCATAACATTTTGGATTTCTCATCATGATTCAGAAAGAAATAGTGAAGGTTGATCTGTTCAGTGTTGACACTGACAAAGGTTTTAGCACAACCTCTCTCTATGCAAAACAAAAAAAAAACTTTTAACCTCAGATATACTTGATGGTGCTATTGAAAGCTTAGTATGTTTTGGTCAGTATGGTACCTTTTTTTGTCTTGAAAGGGTACTTTTCCTCTTAAATTCAGCTAGAATGCTAATACAGACACATGGGAAATTTACATTGATTTAGATTGGTTGGGATTTTGTTAAATAAACTAAATTGATATACCTTGTATATAGCTTAAGAGTAAAAAAGAAAATATTTACCTAGAAATAATTACTATAAACTGATTTTGAAGGGTGACTCCGCTTTAGTTGAGAGGGGGAAAAATTATTTTCGGCCCAATCATATATTTTGCTTGGATTTTAGCAAAGTTAAATGCACATTTTTACCTGCTTTAGGTTTTTGTTTTTTAGGGGAAATGCTTCCAACCCTTCCCCTTTGTAGTAAGAACATCTTTACTGCTGTTGGAGGTGCCTGTTCTAACACCCTCCAAATAGACAAGACGTGAGGGGAAGTCTAAACATGGACACAGACCATAATTGTTACTTTGAATTTCACAGTACAGAAACAGATTTCAAAATTAATGGCCATTAAAAAAATGTAGGTTTCCCCTCTTCTCTGAACCGCAAAATGTTCTCTGATTGAATAAGGGGTGGTGACATCAGGGTCCACCCCTCCTCCAATTAGAGATTGCCTTGTATTCATTGATAAAAAATGTGCTCTCTGTGCCGAGTAAGCGACCCTCTGTGTTTTCAGAGCAGAGGGTAAGTTGCTCAGCGGCATACAGGACCTGCTATAAAGCACTGTCTGACAGGGCTTTACAGGATCACCCTGGCCTATCAGGTGTAAAATATGCATACTTATATTGGGCCAAGCTTGACTAATCTAAATATTTATACGTGGAGTTAAGCTTTCGGTTAGGACATTATGCATTAATACTTATTTGGTGCATATACTTTATATTGTACTTATACTTTAATTCTTATGTCTAAAATGGAAAGGTTATCATATTTTACACTGCCATAACATATTTTTTTGGGGAAGCCCGTGGTGACACAGGATGCCTCCTGTTACAAAATACAGGAAAAACTGGGTCAGAAAAGTGATTATATTTCCACCTGAAGGCATACACAATACAGAGTGCTTTGTATTTCCTTATTGGCAGTAAGTAGGTACTCTTTTTATAGCGGTCTTTCAGTTTTTGGAATTGTGATTGTCCATTGTGTTCATTAGTACTTAATATTGCTGCCTGTAGGTCCTCTGTTGCAGGGCTAGACAAATCCCAGGATCCAGGTACCCAATGCTCCTTTAAAAGTACAGCTGACGCCTAACTAACAACCAAAAAAACAGCAAGGGGACTATACTATAAAGGGTAACAATATGCTTGAAAAGCAGCATTGGACAAACCATGAGTTTTCACGCAAGCAGTAAATGAGTCCAACAATGTCCACCATTGCGCTGCTCAACCTATACATGAGCTTAAGCATTGACTTCCAAGTTGAAGCATGGTACACCTGGGTTCCTCTGGATACTTGCATTAACATCTTGCTGACACTTTAGTCAAGTTCAGTGCAGGCATGCTTTAAACTTAATCTTTTAAATTGGTTCCAGGCTCATAGAACAAACATCTCCTTTAAGTATATTTAGAGCACTCTGGCAAATCAAAAATCCAGGACACCCTGTTATGCAAATATTGATCACAGTTTCTGTGGTTATGCTGTGGCCTTGACCATGTGCTTGTTCCCCCCAATTCCTGGCCCGGTGGTTGTGGGGGTCCCGGGTAGGGGGGCTCACCTGCATCTGGGTACCCCCTTTCATAAAGGGGGCACCGAGATGCCCCCCCCCCTTGTGAATGAGTAAGGGGTAGTTATTCCCCCTACTCATTTACCAGAGAATGAAGTAAAAAGTAAATAAACATGCAACACCTTGAAAAAAATCCTTTAATTGAACAAAAACAAAATACATTTTTTGACAAGTCCTTTGTTTAAAAAAAAAGAAAAGGCTCCAATGATGCAAATCAAAGCCGGTCATGTCGTCCAGTGATGTAATCCAATGTCAATCATGATGAATGATACCCACCAACTTGCCGGAGAAATAAAAGGCCCCTCGACTCGACAGCTTACACCGAACTCCCGTTGCAAACGACTGGTCTGGCCCGAAAGCCAACAAATGGGCGGAGCAAGTTGTGATGTCACGACTTGCTTCGCCACGACAGCTCACTGTCCTCAAATGACATGTAAGCAAATGGGCGGTGCAAGTCCCGTGACGTGGACTTTTTTGTTACAAAATAGCCATACCGGGCTGCAGTGAATGGCCAAAGAGACTTTGGCTCACTTCGGTTCGGTTATTTATTAGGCCTTCGGGGACTTAGTGAATAACCCCTTAAATAGTGTACATAATAATACAAATATAACCCTTTTTCCACCAAATTCACAAAAATGTATTCAAAATATACAGATCTGTCTTAAAAATGGTGGTACCCCACTTTTTCCAGTCCTGCGCTAAAATTGTTCCATGGTCCGCATGGTTGGTATACTTCCATATGTATAACTTGTTCTTGGCATTGTCAATATGTTCTGTATTTGCTGGTAATCTTTTCGGGGGCAACAGCGAGGTTCAGAGCAATGGCCAGAAACACTAACAAATTCAGGTATCTGAGGAGGGGGCTTAGTTACACTCACGGTTAATCTTCATTTTTACATTTGCAGCATTTCCCTTGTATTGTGTATAATGGCAGAGCTGTCCTTTGCTTGACCCCATGTATTTTTTTTTTATTCTAGTGGCTTTTACATGTGTATGTTCAGAAGGAAAGTTAAACTTATATTTGTGTTATCCTGCCATGTAATTTTACAAAACAAAACCTAGCATTTAGATCTTGTGACCTCTTAACTGTGATTTAGCTGAGATTGTGGATGCTTTTCTAAATCCAGTTTCTTTGCATTGAAGTTCCACATGTTTGCTCTTTTTATAAATACCTGATTATCCAGTTTGTTAGGGATAAGCAAACAGAATAACAATTTGTGGTTTTTTTTAATATTCAGGATTGAGCGAGTGATAGACAACACTACAGTGAAGATGGTCCCCATCAAGATTGTTCATTCTGAAAGTCATGCAGAAAAGGAAAGCAGGAACAATTTGCTGAGTGCTATTGAGCCTCCTGCCTTACACACTGCTGTTGGGAAAGATCAGCTCAAGACTCTCAGCACCTCTGAACAATCATATTCTCGCTTTTGTGCTTATACAAGGCATGGGTCAGACCCAGAAGAACAGTCCAGACTAATGGACAGTCAACCAGTCCTGGAATCCTCTGAAAACACAAAAGAGGGAGCAATCTCTTCACTTCCAAGTTGTAACTCCAAGAATAAGGATTTGATTTATGCAGACTTGAAGTCAGAAGAGCTGGTAAGAGAAATAGTAGATAAAGACAAGTCTCTTGCAGACATTTTAGATCCTAACACCAAAATGATGACCACAATGGACCTCATGGAAGGAATATTCAGAAAGGATGAACATCTCCTAGAGGAAGCCCAACAACGAAGAAAGCTGCATCCAAAGGTTCCTTCTCCAAGACCTCCAGATGAAAAGTATGTATATTAAATAGCTTACATGGTGTGATGGCATTTAATCATTTACATTGGTCATGCAGTAAAGACTTTTTATTTGACTTTTGGCATTTACTAATTAATTACATACACCTAGATAGATTTGTCATGCTCAAATGACAACTGTACAATTTCCTTTAAAGTACACCTATACAGATACCACAGATTGTTACTCTTTGTATGCAACCTCCCAAGTTGCAGATGGACAAGAGTGTGTGGACGCCCCTCCAAACTGAGTTCAGGTGCTATTCTACAACAAACAAAAAGAAATTGTAGACCATTTTGCATTTCAAGCTTTGTGGCAACAGTGTGGAGAAGGCCCTTCTCTGTTCCATCATGGCTGTGCACAAAGCCAGGCTTATTCCGTCATCCAGTCCTAGGATCTATTGCTTAATTGCAACAAGTAGTCATATCTCCAAGCTGGCTGTGATGTCTGTCAGGGCTGTGCAAATCTTTGGGCTGGGTGGATAGACTTGCACATCATTCGGCAGATAACACAGCTTCAATGTATGTATTTCATCTGTGCATTTAGCAGTTTGCATGGAGTTTAGTTTTAATTTATTTCAGACCATGACTGTGGAAGGCAGATACAACAAAAGAATAATTATAACATTTTCAAGATAGTTTGTGGAATACATGTACAGGCAGTAAACCAGCTAGACAGTGGCTGGTAAGAGAAATGACAAGTAAAGGGGATGATGTCATTAACAGTAAAATCATATCAGGTGAGACATTCTTGGTTAGTACAGACAACAAAGCCCCTTTTTTTTTTTTTTTTATGCAATGCACAATTTACCTTGTATAGCAGAAGAAGAATATACAGTTGTGTGAAAAAGAAAGTACACCCTCTCTAGAGTCTATGGTTTTACATATCAGGACATAATAAAAAGTATCTGGTCCTTAAATTAGGTAAATACAACCTTATATGAACAACAATACATGACCCTGTGTCATTATTTTATTTTACAAACAAAATGGATAAGCCATGTCTGCAAAACGAAGTACACTTTATAATGCAATAGCCTTTGGCAGCGATAACTTTAAAGCCTTGGTTCTCAACTGGTGCGTCGTGACCCAAAAGTGGGTCACGACCCCATGTTCAGTGGGTCCCCATGCACCTTCCACTTTTCTAGGTGACAGGCTCATCAGCCTCCCCCTAGCGCAGCACTGTCAGTTCTTTCGCCATGCAGCCATTCAAAATATGCTGGCGCCGAGTGCCGAGCTTGAGGTAGGGTGGGCTCCATCCATATGTGCATTGCTTACAGCTCCCTCGCATGTCCTGTAGAGATGCCTGGACCGCAATCGCACCTACCACGCATTTTGGTGTGAGAAGTGCATTGCATTGCAGTTCATTTGAATGGCACCCCAAATGCACCTCCCAACCACAGTTCTATTGCCCGAATCGGAACATGCAGTACCGCAGTGCCATGCGTTCCATTGCAGTGCAACTTGGGTCACGACTTAATGACCGAGGACAAATGTGGGTCCTGAGGTTACACAGGTTCAGAACCACTGCTTTAAAGTAATTGTTTTATGTGTGACTTTCAGTCTCTCACATCGTGGAGGAATTTTTGCCCACTCTTCTTTACAACGTTGCTTCAGTTCATTGAGGTTGGGGATAAATTAGGATGCATTTTGGGTCCGGAAACAATCTGGTCTGGAGATGATAGAGGTGGTCACACTTGCGGATGATCATCTAATCATCATCTAATCAAGAGCATTTCATTAGCATCACCTGGCTGCTACTTAGCCTCTTAATTCCTATGGAATCAGTTTGGGTGCACTTCGTTTTTCACACATGGCTTCTCCATTTTGGCTTTGTTTGTAAAATAAATAATGACACAGTGTAATATGTCGTGTGTTTTTGTTGGTCATCTGAGGTTGTATTTAACTAATTTTAAGACTGTTAAGGACCGGATGATTTTTATTTATGCCCCGATAGGTAAAACTATAGAATTCCACGAGTGTGTACTGTCTTTTTCAAACAACTGTATACCCTTGTACAAGGCATTTAGGTACCATAATACCATAATTTCTAGCAGCCATAGAATAATTATCAAGAGAATTTTAAGTATGCATATACTTTCATTAGAAGCCCCATGTTTCTACATTTTCAAAAACAAACTCAATGCTGCAATTACAGCTTTGTTACACTGAGTTAGTTTAGAGAAAAAATAGTTTAGCCAGCAAAACTTGGTTTTCAGCTCTGTTTATCAGACTGAAAACAGATCAGTCCTCTGATAACTCATTCTATTGCTGCAAGAGGCCAATAACACTAAAATACTGTGCTCTGCAATGTATACATTGACATTTGTTGCATTGGGCAGCCAGAGCTTCATCTGCTGGCTGGATACTAAACTGCATATTATTAGAAAAATGTATTATTTACCTGACCACAAAAAAAAAAGTTGTCTAATACCACTATACATTCTTTTTGTTTCATTTTGTTTATAATAGTAAAGAGTTGAATGTATGATTTAATTGCTGTATTGTGCCAGAATGATTTGTTGGTAAAGGTGGTAGCAAGCTATCCGAACCACACCAAGCTCTTTGTTGCTGAGACTGGTCTTGTAAGTTTGCCAGCTCTAATCAGCCACATTGCGGTGTTTGTATCAATTTATATAAACTTAATTTGCAGTCACTTAAATAATTGAGTTGAAAATCTGGTTTGTCTAGGCGAGTCTCAACCTGAGAAAATATGTGCAATATGTGCATGTGCGAAGTCTATTGTGACTTCACTCATTACTAGGCTTAGGCTAATGCATATGGGTAGCTACAGTATAGGAAAGTATTTGGCCTAGAACAGTTTACCCAAATACTGGTGGAAAACTGCTAATAAAAGTTATGTGTTTGATGCGCTCATTGGCTATGGTAACTAGAATGATCACTATTCACAAATGCAGGCCAGCATGTCGTTTAAGGCCCAACTGAATACATTTGCGGTGCATCAAAACAGGTGTACAAAGTCTAAGGGACCATTCACACCACATCCAGATCATCTCCAGACCAGACCAGATTGTTTCTGGACCCAAAATGCATCCTAATGTATCCCAATGCTATTTCTGGCCTCTGTTCACCCCAGCGAAGCCCGTTCCAGACCAGACCAGAAAAATACTGCACGTCTCATTTTGTCTGGTCTGGAATGCACTGGAACTGAGGCAGGTTCACACCATGATCTGGACTAGATCTGGTCCGGGAAATGGTGTAAAGCTGCCCTTAGGGCCTGTTTATGTGCTTTGTGATAATGCACAGAAATAGGTGCAGTTTACTATAATGCACACATACTGTACGTTTGTTGCTGTGTTGTGCCATTAATTTTGCATAGCGCCCCAATGCACATGTGCTGGATGCTGCAGTGCCTTACAAAATAAATGTTGCAAGAGCTTGATGTTAATGCATTGAAGTTTGAATTGGCTGACTAACCGCAGTGCACGCATTTTTGTGTGTTTCTGCATGCTACATTAGTCAGCCCATTTAAAATGAATGTGCATGGTGTGAATGGGGTCTTACAGTTTATCTTGTTTAGAAAAGAACCACAGCCGAAGGGAAAGGTCTGTCCTTTTGACAGAATGCTTTAATGCAGGACCCTCGCTCTTTGTGTGGAAGAATTTAGTGTTTTTTTTTTTTATTATTTGGATAGAATATGGAAGAGTTAGGCCACCTTGTTAAGTTTTTATTCCTGCCCGTGTCTCCTTACTAAGGTCAATTCTAAAAATTCTGAGTTGTCAATAAAGCCAGAGATGAGGGAAAATCCTCCATTAGAGAGCTTTTCCTGCGACAACTCTCTAAAATGCGGAATCCATTTACTTTGAAGGGATTTCCTCATTTCTAGTTGCATCTTCAAGACAGGAAGTAAAGGGAAATCTCCCCAGCCTAACACATGCAGCATAAAGCAATCTAATTAGCAGTTGTAACCCTTCTGTACTCTGACTTAAAGTAAATAAAACATTTTTGGTTTGCATACACATTAACAACATATCTTGCGTCTCTGTGGAGCTTAGCAGATGTCTTTCACCGAAATCAGGCAGGTGCTCTTTTTGCAAGGGTTGCTTTTTGATTCCAGCTTTCATTGACAAGAAGTTAATAGTTCAAATCCGCTACAGCCGATTGTTGTTTAATAATCAGAAATATGCCCCACATGTTACATTACTAGGCCATTGTCCAATGTATAATGTTGTACTATGTTATCCTACAGAAAAGAGGACCAGAATACAACTGCAGCAACTTCATTGACGACCAGTTCTACATACTACAGCACTTCCGCACCCAAAGCTGAGCTTCTCATCAAAATGAAAGATATGCAAGAGCAGCAGCACACTGAGGAGAATTCAGAGGAAGAGCTGGGCCATAATTTATATGAAAAAAAGGTAACCAATTGTAAATTCTACCAGTGTAACTCTGAGAGTCGTCAGATCAGCAGATTGTGTCACCATGGAAATGAGATCATTACCTGAGCACAACTGAATAAAACTTGCTGCATATAAGTTTCAACTGGTTTTATATCGAACCCTAATGCAGTGTCCAAAAAATATATGTAAAGGACTTAGAAACATTAAAACCTGTCAGTTGCTGTTCTTCCTTCTCAAACTGCCGTATTGAAGGAGAAAAAAATCTGCTTACATTATACAACTTTTCCTGTTGTGCTACATGTAAGCTATTCTGTCCACCATGATGATATACTGCAGGGGTGTGCCACACACAGCTCAGAGTATCAGGTCCTTAGAGAGATGATGTAAAATCCACACCCCCTCCTCTTCTCCTCCAATCACATAAAGCTTTGTATTCTTTGAGAAAAATACAAGGCGTTTTGTAAATGGGCAAGTAGTGGGGGGGGACTGGGAAGCGATTAAGCACTTCACCGCTCAAGTCAAATCATTCACTCCCCACAGCACCTGGAAGCCAATTATTTATGTACGGGATCTGGCTTGCTGCAAGTTTAGATTTTTATGCTTTCCAGTAGGGATGTCCCGATGCCACTTTTTCAGGCCCAAGTACAAGTACATCCCCTCCTGTACTTGCCGATACCAATTACCAATACTTTTTCTTAAATGGACAGGTGACTTTAAATGATCCATAGTACAACTACATGTTATGTACTATGGATCATGATTTAACCTATTCATGTTAGCAGGGGAGAATTGTAAATCTATTGCTGGAGTGTAGTGGAGGTGTGTGCTGTATATATGTACTACATATACATTACGCACATCCAGTACACTATAGCAATAGATTTACAGCCAGCCCCGTCCCAGCTTCCCTCACTCACAGTTTCACTCCGATCCCTGTTGCCTCACGTGGTGCCTCTTGTAGTCGGCGCTGGGCATGATCGCTGCATCGCGTCTCGCTGCTCAGCTTGTGTGAGGCGCTCGCAATTCTGCCCTGCTAACATGACTAGGTTAAATCATGATCCATAGTACATATACAGCACATATTTTTATTTGTGTCATTTCACATACAATTCCATAAATTACATAATGATATCATTAACCTCTACATATATGGCTATTTCATATCTAAAATTTCTTAATTTATTCTTAATTACAGGTGAAAAATATATCATAACAGATGAAAAATACTAGTACTTGTGATTAATTGAATAATAAACTAACCTTTCACCATTACTTATCTAGCCATAAAAAGAGAGGGCAAAGAGCATTATATTGTCTGAAATGCCACTCAATTACGGCCCCGTACCTTTTCTCTTACCCTGTTTATTCATAAAAAAAAACCCTATCATACCCACTCCTTCATCCATCCCTCCCCCCCTCCCCTCCTCCCCTAGATCCAAACTTGTTCCCTCCCCTAAAAAAGGAAAAGGAAAAAAAAAATGTAAAAAAAATTGCACAAGAAAGGGAAAAGAGGAAATATGCTATTCCTCCTTTTTTTTTAATTTTTTTTATAAATATCGTTGCATCTCTATTAAGCCAATAAAAGCCCTCCATGGTCTCCATTTTTCTACAAAT